AGAATATCCTCTGTATAACACCCTTTTTTACATTAGCAAAATGTAAAAGGAATGTGTAATATGTTTTACTGTGTATTGTTAAAAAAAATCATGTGTTTTGCAAATATAATGAATTTTGAGTGTACATTAAACATTTAAAGAATGGACCAAGTATTTTGAAAATGTTAGGATAATTATTACCATGTCTCATGGTTATTTAATACATATACATTATGAAGTGTTATTTTAAGAGTTTGTTCAAGAAAAGCTCTGTGTCTATACCTTGAAGCTTTCTCTTCCAGTTTTTCTTTTTTTCTGAAAAGAGATCAATTGGGACAAACTCTTTAAATAACACTTTATAGCATATATGTATTAAATAGCCATGAGATATGACAACAGATTTTGATAAAAATTGTAATCTTACTCAGATCAGAGAAGTTGCTTTGGGTTACAGAAGGCAACTGCTTACCAACCGGATTCACTTCATGTGAAGTGGCTCCGATAAACAGTTAGTGAAGCATTTTATACATCTCCAGTATGCCACATCATCACACCATCACATCATACAAGTTTGCAGATGAGGAGACATCCACGGCTCCAGCTTATCAAAATATTACACTTTGCTTTTAGATCAAGAACACCGCTCTCATTCCATTCCCAAATCTTTTCCACATGCAGAATGCAGATGATAACTGTATTTCCTGACAGATGAACTGGCCTTTTTAGATAAACTACTGGGAAAAAATCAGTTCTGACATGCAGCAGGCAGGTAATATTCAGATTTAATAAACTTACACATCATCAATGATAATTATCCTAACAAGAGTAAACACTGACACCAATATGCAATGTCAAACAGTTATTCAGGTTTATTTATTTATCTATCATTTGCACCAAAAATGATACACAAACAAATGGCAGTTCCACTGACAGTAATCAGGCTCCATGTTGTTCCGCAGTAAACAAAATATATAGTCATCATTTCTCTTTCTGTACACAACATATTTTTCTAACAGCTGTCAGAATTGAAAAATTGGGCGACAGTGTTTCTGCTACAGACACATCACACCAGCTGTAATCCTTCAGTAATCAATAGTTATCTGTGCTGCAACAGACATCCTATATTGCCCTAAAGTCCAGTGGTTCCTCTAAAAACAAATGAAGAGAGTTCTTGGTCTATTTAGGTTAAAAAGGGTACAGGATTTAAAATACTGCGATAAAACTCCTTATACAACTGGCCACATCTCTTTACACAGTTTCATGAATCCCTGTGAGGTATTTTTGGAGGAACTGCATGCAGAAAGTTACTGTTCTGTCATCCAAGTGGACAAGGCTTCTGTCTTTGGAGGTTTCAGGTAGAGTGCATACAGCATTCCAAAGAGTACACTGCCCAGTGAAACCCTCTACACACCCTAAAATGAACAGGCTGACTTTAGCACATACTCACTATCGTTGTACAGCACCTGGCCCTTGGCTATAAAACTAGTGTTCAAGCCAAATATTTCCATGCTTTCCCAGTTCAAAGTCAAAAGACTTTTCTTGGCCGACTGAGTCCAAGGCTGCTCTTAGACCCAGTGACCTGGAGACCTCAAAAACATCTTAAGGTAGATGTTATCTATCATTGTCCCTGTTGTGGTTGCAATAGGTCTGTCCCCTGGTGGATGACCTTTTCCATTACTCTCATCCTGGTACCCAGGGCTGTGGAAATGATTTTGTGATCTATGCAGAAAAGTGACACAGTATACCAGTTCTATGCTTCCTGCCAATTGCCTTTTTTTGGCAGGAGGGTGATTACCCATGTACGGTATAACAGTGGAAGTGAGCCAGTGATCGGGCTTTCATTGAAAACATTTCACAGGTCCTCTGCTGTGTCCCAGTAGGCTAGAATTCCAAAGCCCAACGATGCCCAGCGCTTTCTTGGCCTGCACACTGAATGTGGAGGGGTGCTTCAACTGGATGTTGGTCCCCCTGGTGACCTGGGGTAACTCACTGCAGAACTCCCTATGCAACTTATTGTTACTCTTACATTCACTATGTAATAACAAGGAATACAACTTTACCCGTTTACTCCTGATCTGGACTGGTTCACTAAGCATTTGCTCTGTGTCTGACAGGTGAGAGTGGATCAGTTTCCTCTGCCCGCACCTTCTCTCCAACTTAAAGAAAAAAAAAAAAGCTGGTATGCACATCCACTTCTTCATGTTCTGCATCCAGAACAATGTTCAATTGGCCTTGAACTGCAGTTTTCAGCAGGTTTGCCAAAAAATACCTTTTTGGTGCTTCAGTATCTTTTTATTTTCCTTTGGGTTTACTCATTTGTTTTTTTCATTTGCACCATGTTTATCTCCAGATCCCAAATAGATCTGATGTCATGATGAGAGTGCTGTTGAGACTGCAGTTTAACTTGAACATTTCCATAGTCCCACCACTGCTGTAGGCATGAATAAACTCTCTTCCTCTGTCTAAAACCACCCCAAAATAACACAGAGTCTCCATAAAACTATGGTCATAAGTTAAAGCTCAGTTAAAAATTATGCTTAAAAAAGAGCACCAGTCCTTCACCTCACCAATTGTTTTTGTCTTACTCCCCATGATTTGTCACCTTTGTTCACCTTACACTCAATTTAATTCATTTCAGTTTATTTATGCAGCACAAATTTACAGCACATGTCATACCATGGTACTTTACAGATTGGTTAAAAAATTCTATCAAGAAAAAAACATTGTGACCCAAGAAGGTGTTACATATATCTCAAAACAGCCTTCTTCAGTTTAGGTATTAGTTTTATACAGAGAGATATGGCACCAAGCAGAAAACCCAACTTACTGACAGCTGAAAACACTTTGCCTTTAATTCAGGGAGTTGTGAAGGATTAGACATTTGTTGTTTTAATATTTTATCACCAGCATATAATCAGACTGTTATATGGTTAAATTCAAACCAACATTTGTTCATTTAAAAACATTAGTCTGGTAAATGGAGATCCCATGACATCAGGATTCCACCCATCCTTTGTTTACAACTACTATCATTGCTGGGTTGCAATAGGGAACTAGTGTCTATTTTCAGTAGTCATTGGGCAAGAGGAGGTGTACCTTTGGAAAGGTAACAAGTCCATATCATGGAAAACCTAGAGACATACAGAACAAAATAACATGCACACACTCATACATGCATACAATCAAAATAACCTATTATGAATGTTTTCATAATACGAGAGGAAGTCAGTAAACCCAGAGACAACCATGTGTCACAGGGAGAACAAAGTCCCAAAGATGTTAACTGGGATCTTTCTGCAAGGCAAAAATAATATCATCCAGCATGGGGAATCATCTAATATAATAACTGCAAATACAGCTGATTATATACAACTAGATACAGCTAGAATGCAACACAAAAACCCTGCTAGATGATAAAAACACTTATTTAAATACTGAAGTTATTAGAAACTTATTTTTCCTACAGTAAATAATGTAAACCATACATCCCACTTTTATTTTTCCTACCCCTATTCCAACTCTGGTTAAAACAAATATGTGCCCACAGCAGTAAGCGCTGATGACTTGTTGATGTATTATTTATTACACACTGGGGAATATTCACGCCTCAGGAATTCAGAAACAGTATTTACATCTCAGACATGTTGACAAGGTTGACTAGAAGTCAACAGGTGGCTCCATATCTAAACAACTTGTTAATTTGCCTTCATTCAAACAAAAACTCAAATACAAGTGATCCTTAATTTACAATAGACCTATCAGACAGGAAATACATACATGCTACATTTATTTAATTGTCTTGTTGGAATTCTTTATCTCCTTCCCATAAAGTATACCATCATCCTCCATATTCTTATAGATTTCACAGCAGCACATTTCTAGTGTTTGCAAAACGAAAGCAAAATGGTGACTAAGTAACTGCAACATCTTGTATAAACAGATTTTTCAAGTGCACAATTTAAGATGAATAGACATTTTCTCAATTTTTTTGGTAAAAAGAGAAGTCACAAGATATGTTTGGCCAAACAACAGAGCATTAGAAGTTATTTTATTGTCATATTTCAAAACTTCAAACAGTAAAAAGGACCAATCGTCAATGTTGTAATGCATCACATTTTGATAGCTGCATAAATAATAAAAATGTATTGAAATACGAAATACGTTAGAGAAACAAACAACAAACTTGTAAAGAAGAGTACTTACCAGGATTCAGAACCTAGCTCAACTGAACCCAATGAGCTGATGACTAAATCACAATAATATATTCAAGAATATGGAGCTTCATAGACCGGACATTCTTTTGATGAAACAGGATGCTGAAAAGTATCTTGAAAGTAATTAAGAGAGGCGTTCAAAATATTTGTCAGCCATTGCAAGTAAGAGGTTGGGCATTTGTGTGTGAGAAGCTATATTTGCTTTAGGTCCTAATAAGACTGTAAAAGAAGGCCAAACATATCGAATGTTATTTCTTGTTGCAACCTAATCATACCTCAAGAGAATTGCTTTTTAACATGGTAGGGGTTCTCCTAGCATAATGGGCCATAATGTGTTCTAAAATTAGCTTTGAGTAAACTCCTCAGCCTGGGCTTAAAAGCTTTTTTTAAACAGAGTCATTGCCAAAGATTTTGTTGCTCTAATAATTATTCATAGGAAGATGACATTATGGCATTTGTAAACACTTAGGATCAGTCTGTCCCAGTCATGAATATGACTGGTGTCTTCTTTAAATACTATAAACGCATTATGCTCAGTCTCTCTTCACTTTTAGTCTCAAATGCCTATTGGTTTTGTATAAAGATTTCTTACATGGGGTTTCAGTTTATTATTGTTTTGGCATTACAAGGGATAGGGTAACCCCACTGGTGATGGAGAGATGTGGAAGACATCTGAGACCATATATCTGAAGAGGGATAATTGACCCTAAAAGGAGGGTTGGTCCTCCATGGTCGCTGGAGATTTCAGTATAAAAGAAGCTCTGCAAGTTGGCCCTGAACTTCAGGACTGACGGGCCCCCAGGAAAGGTGAGTCTCCCACCATAGTGTAGGAGTAAGTTGTGTTCAAATATTATTCTCATTAATTGGATATTATTTTATTGTCAACATTTGTTTTTACTCAAGTGATTTTTTTTATTGCTCCTTAACCTTTCTTAGTATCCTCACACCAAGTGCATCACCGAAAGACAAACAAGGTAAATGATCACTTCTCTTACCAGAACACCAGAAAAACTCCTAAAGCCATGCATTTTATTTTCTTGTAAAGACAAATATTAATCTTTTTAATATAATTAAGTTTTAGTTTTACTTTCTTTTACAGTGGAGCCATGAGTTCAGATCCGGAGATGGAGTGTTTTGGCCCGGCGGCCGTGTACCTTCGGAAACCAGAAAGGGAGAGAATTGAGGCTCAAAACACTCCTTTTGATGCCAAAACAGCTTACTTTGTAACAGAGCAAGCTGAGATGTACCTGAAGGGTAAACTAGTGAAGAAGGAGGGAGGCAAAGCTACTGTTGAAGTTCAGGGTGGAAAGGTAGGCAGACATCTAGATGCACATGATGGAGCAAACAGGAATCTGTGACACAGAGTGTAACTCTTCACACATAACCATTCTGTCCATGCATATGTCTTGTGGATACATTTTTAGACTCTAACCGTGAAGGAAGATGAAATCTTCCCCATGAACCCACCGAAGTTTGATAAAATTGAGGACATGGCCATGATGACCCACCTCAGTGAGCCTGCTGTGCTGTATAACCTCAAAGAGCGATATGCAGCATGGATGATCTACGTAAGTTTCTCCAAATATAATTGC